TCAGGGGATGCAGCAGGAAGCATCTGGTTCTCTCTCTCTCTCCCAGTTTAGTGCCTGTGGAATTTTTAAATGACCCTCACAGGCCTTAGATTTGCTACGTTAGGGTACCAGATTTTACTGTGACTCTGCAGACTCTCCTCAGAGAGCACTTGGGTGGACTCCTCAGTCTCCTTCCAGTGCTCCTCTGTCTGTCTTGGGTTTTCTCTGACCTGGACCAGCAGGACCCTTCCTCACTGTGAGCCTCTCCATGTGCTGTTTTCTTACTTGGGTAGAATAGGACTTGGTGTTTTCCTTAGTGCCAATGGAAACCTCCCATGTCTGAGTTTCCTGGAAACTTCTGCTCTCCAAGCACTTCACAGAAGACCTCAGATGCTCATGACCATCTGGCCATCTAAGTGTAACCCCATTCTCACTGGTTTTTATTTCTCTTTGTATCTTTGGAATGCACTTATTTTTTGAAAATATTGTGTTTTTACCAAAAAAATGTTTTACAATCAGTTATTTAAGACTCCTTTGGATGATTTCCTTAGCCCAGCTCTCCTACTTTGAAAAATGGCTAAGCTGGGTGTGGTGGCGGTGCATACCTGTAATCCCAACACTTTGGAAGTAGAGGCAGGAGGATCAGGAGTTTGAAGTGATCCTCAGCTACATAAGTTTGAGACCAGTCAGCCTGGATTATGTGATATCTTAATTAAATAAATAATTAAATGCTGCAGGAAAGAGAACTGATAAGTTTTCAAAGTACCCAGTGCTTGAAGTATTTTCTTCATTTTGGAGCAGACTCGCTTTCTCCTTTGTGTCTTTACTTGACATAGCACCTGATCTTTGGAGGTGTCACACTTTGGGCCTTGTTACTGACAAAGTAATAAGTGGAGGCCATTATTAGGACAGGATAAGTGTGGTTGTGCTTATGTCTTATGTTTTAAATGTTAGTTACTTTCTGGATAAAATTTGTTGGGCCAGTTTGTATTTTCATTATTTTATGTGTATGCATGTATTGTCTGCATGTAGGTAAGTGCACCCATGTCGTGCAATGCCTGCGGAGGACAGAAGAGACTATCGGATCCCCTGGAACTGGAGTTACGGACATTTGTTAGCTGCCATGTGGGTGCTGGGAACTGAATCCAGGTCCTCTGCAAGAACATCTAGTGCTCTTAACCACTGAGCCCTGTATTTTTTTATACTTAAAAGAATGAACAGAAGCCGGGCGTGGTGGGTGCATGCCTTTAATCCCAGCACTCGGGAGTCAGAGACAGGCAGATCTCTGTGAGTTCAAGGCCAGCCTGGTCTACTTTGTATTTTTTTATACTTAAAAGAATGAACAGAAGCCGGGTATGGTGGTGCACGCCTTTAATCCCAGCACTCGGGAGGCAGAGAGGGGCCACAGGGAGACCCTGTCTCAAAAAGACCCCCCCCCAATAAAAAGAATAGGTTAGAGCACTTGACTAGCATGTGCAGTGGTGCAAGGGCCTACATTGACTCATAGTACCACTCCCTACCCCCCAAATGACCAGTCACACACACACACACACACACACAAAATCCTCTAGAGAGCAGAAGTTGTGACTAGTGAATCCTGACCTTTCCATGGTGGCTGTTATTGGCCTGAGTTTTGGATGTCATCACTAACCTGTTAAAAGTTCCAGAAATTGTATCTAAAGTCCCAGATGGCAATGCCATCTGTGGTATTGACTTCGTGAAGGCCAGAAAGTGCTCCCTTAAATTTTGAGGGCATTGTTTTTGCCCCTTAAGGTTTTTTGGAACTTTAGCCCCATTTTTACACTCTTCATGTAAATGAACTTAATAGGAATTTCTCAAGAAAGGGAGGTTGGGGCCTGGAGAGGTGGCTCAGCAGTTGTGAGCTTTGGCTGCTCTTGTAGAGGACACAGATTTGGTTCTCACCTCCCACATGATGGCCCACAACTCTTAACTCCAATTTTAGACCCCTTTTCTGGCCCCAAAGAATATTGCATATCTGGGTGCATTTACATGCAGGTAAAAGACTTACATGTAAAATTAAAAGGGCAGTTGGCAAACTTATACCAAAATGTGCACATATTTTAAATTTTTTTCAATTTTCATACAATATAATTTGATGGTATTTAGATACCCACCATCTGCACCACCGCAACATGTGCATGTATTTTTGTGTAATTTGTCGAATGCCCCCCAAGCCCACCAGGCTTGGAGCTTCAACAAGAAAGAAACCAAGACAAAAGTCTTGAAATGATGCAATGAATTTATTTGAAGGTAGATTCTTACAGTCAGCTGAGCAATCACAGAATCGAAAGAAACCAAGACAAAAGTCTTGAAATGATGCGATGAATTTATTTGAAGGTAGATTCTTACAGTCAGCTGAGCAATCACAGAATGGCTTTTTGTTGTGAGGAACACAGATCTTATATAGGAATCAGATCAGAGGTAACCAAGAAATCACCAAGGATATTTTACTAACAGATAGTAACCAAGGATGCGGCACGTAGCTACATCATGCCACCAACTCCAGTGCCCGAAGACGGAAACGAAACTTAAGTTTCCAGAGTACCTAATTAATCATGGAGGCACAGCCTGTCAGCTCAAACCACTGAAGCAGAGAGCTTAAAAGCTCTTAAAGTGGCAATTTTCTTTTCTCCAATGCTCAAGTCAAGCATGGCTCCCGACAGTAATTTTGTCAAATGAATCTAACCTGGGCTGGAGAGCTGTCTGAGCAGTTAAGAGCACTGGCTGCTCTTGCAGCTAATAACTGTCCACAACTCCAGTTCCAGGGGATGTGATGCCCTCTTCTGTCCTCTGTGGACATTGCACAACATAGGTGCACTTAAAGGTAAATAAATACTCATACACCTAAAATACGTATGTCTTGAAAAAGTAGTGTAGCCACCTCTGTACTATGGTGCCAGCCTGTATACCTGAAAGTAACCTCTCGTGTCCATTTCTGGGACTCTGCCTTTGTAAAAATAGTTCATTAGGAAAAGTCTAGGGAGTTTGTAAGACTTAGAACAGAGAAAGTTTAGGTAAAAGACTAAAACCAGACCTTTGGGAGACTGAAGAGGATTTGTTCAGCGAAGGTGACAGAGCTTTTCCTCTGACCAGTAAGCTGTGCAAAGGTGGGAGGGGTTAGGGTGAGTTTCATATTACTGGAAACAAAAAAGGCACAGGGGTGTCCTTAGGCCCTTTTCTTGGAGTTGTAGAACAAGGAACTTGTTTTCAGCCCAGATGGCCAGCTGAATGGCTAGCTTATACCTGGGGTGCAAGGACAGCAGACAGATATCCTGGCAAGAGAAGTGGGCTGTCCAAGCTCGCTGCAGTTGTGGTGTGCCATCAGGCCTGAGATGGGGATGTGACTTAACATGGGGCTAGGGCCAGACATTTGTCTCAGGGAACTTTTGGTTTCTATTTCTATCAGAGTTGAAAAGTTTTTTTTTTCCTAAATATTGTTCATCTTTGGGGACTGGAAAGATGGCTCAGCAGTTAAGAGCACTGGCTACTCTTGAAGAGGACCCAGGTTCAATTCACAGCACCCACACGATAGCTAAAAAGCATCCTAACATCAGTTCTAGGGGATCTGATGCCCTCTTCTGACCTCCTCGGGAATTGCATGCCATAGGTGCACTTAACATTCATGCAGGCAATATCCTCATACACAAAATGGTAAATAAAAATAAAATATTGCAATATATATATATATATATATATATATATATAGGTCCTTTTGAGACAGGGTCTCCCTGTAGCCCCAGCTGTCTTGGAACTCACCATGTAGACCAGGCTAGCTTTGAACTCACAGAGATCCGCCTGCCTCTCTGCCTCCCAAGTGCTGGGACTACAGGTGTGCGCCACCACACCCGACTTGCAATATATTTTTTAAAAAAGGGATGGAGAGATGCCTCAGCAATTGAGAACACTGCTCTTGCAGAGGACCTGGGTTCGATTCCCAGCACCCACATGGCAGCTATGAACAGTCTTTAACTCCAATGCCAGGGGAATCTGGAGCCCTCTTCTGACCTCTGTGGCATTGCACGACACAGGTGGACTCACATACATGCGCGCAATACATTAATACACATTGAAAAAAAATACTAAAAAAAATTGCTAGCCGGGTGTGGTGGTGCAAGCCTTTAGTCCCAGCACTGGGGAGGCAGAGGCAGGCGGATATCTGAGTTTCAGGCCAGCTGGGGCTACAGGGAGACCCTGTCTCAAAAATACCAAAAAAATTGCTTATCTTTCAGAGAATCTGTCTTCTTCCTAAAAACAGATATCATGTAACGGCAGTAGGAGACAGTGTAGAGGCTTCCTTAAAGCCAACTCCGGGTAGTTGTGACTTATATTTGTTGAGTTTACATTGAAATTACCCTTCCAAAAAGGACAATTGGTGGGTTAAGGGAGGGTTACGACTCAATCTCCATCAAACCAAGTGGACAGTTCAACGTATATTGGCCAAGGTGTGTCACCATCACGACCTTCGAACTCTAGCCCATTCTCAACTCCAAGAAGCCCCACCCCCATTGGCAGTTACCTGGTGTCCCCTTGCCCCTTCCGCCCTCCCCTCCAGCCACTAGTCGACTTCTATGGACTTGTCTACTCTGGATACATGCACTCTTCTGGAACTGCACACTGTGCCTCTTGTGACTTTCTTCTTTTACTTAGCAAAATGCTTTCAAAGTTTATACTGCAGGATATTCCGGTATTTAAGAGGCATTCCATTGCAGCCCGCAGCAACACTCGGCCCGCTCGGTGCTGGACCATCGATGAACGCTAGGATGACAGCCGTGTGCAAGCTTAAGTGTGGACGGTCGACTTGTCTAGCCCAACCCTGGGAAACAGAGACAGCGATCGGCCTTCCGGAAACTGCCCAGCTTCCTTCTCCAGGAACGCCACCTCCCTTCCGCTTCCGGAGGGCCGCACAGTCTGCGCAGGCGCTCTGGCGAGAGGGCGCGCTCCTGGTGTGTGGGCGGGGCTTCGCCCGGAAGCGGAAGTCCGGGCTCCAGGCGGCGAAGGGAGGCTTTCCTCCGTCGCTGTGGCTCAAGCCGCAGTGGCCGCCATGCCGTCCGAGGGTCGCTGCTGGGAGACCCTGCGCGCGCTGCGCAGCTCCAGCAAGGGCCGCCTGCCCTACCACCGAGACTGGCTGCAGCACTACGAGGTGAGCCTGTCGGGGTCCGGGAATCCCCAGCACCGGCCCTGCCCCCCTGCACCGGTGTTCCCCTGCTCCGGGGGGGAGTGCCCCAGCAGCTCAGGTTTCGAGCGATGGGCTAGACCTTCCTCCTTGCTGCCACATGAAATGACCCGTTTCAAATGACTGGACAAACCACACTGACCTCCTTAATGTATGTTTTAATGAGTGATGCACCCCCGTTTATCTGTTGGGCCACCCACTGCTTTGTCAATCAGAATGTATTGTTTTTTTGTTTTTGTTTTTTTTTTGAGACAGGGTCTCACTAGGCGGCCCCCGCTGACATGGAACTCGCTATGTATACCAGGCTGTTCTCAGACTCAGAGATTCACCTGCCTCTGCCTTTCAAGTGCTGGGATTAAAGGTGTGCGCCACCATCCCTGGCACCTTCAGTACTTTTTGACAGGGTCTTCCCAGTCCCACCCCACCTGGAAGTCACTATGAGGACCAGGCTGGTCTCCATCTCACAGTCTGCCTGCCTCTCCTTCCTGAGGGGTGGGATTAAAGGCATGCACCACTTCAATAGGTTTTTCAGTATGTTTAAGATTTGTTTATTTAGGCTTTCCGCTATTCAACATGTAAGGTGTTATGTTTCCATCTGTGGTCTTACTGGGCTTAACCTTCTCTTTAGGATGTTTTGGAAGAATGCATGTCTCCTCCCAAGCTATCCTCTTACTGTGGATGGGTGGTGGATCACATCCTGCCCAACACCTTTTCCCCCACACTGGAGAATGCCCCTTCCTCGGAGACTTCACTATCCTCTGGATCTGCTTCAGGCCTGGACCAACCTTCAGTTCTTCCTAAATCTCCTGTCAGAACCTCTCCCCTCTCCCCAGAGTCCCCCTCACCCTCAACACCGAATGGAACCAAGGTAAGGTTTAACTTGCTTAACACAAAAGACTGTTGACAGCAGAGTTGATACTGTGACATGATAGTATGCAATAGCTTAATACTACCACGTGATACTGACCCTGGGGAAAAATGACTGTTTCCTACGCAGCTGTTTGTAGAAACAGTATTTACTACATCACTCAGTGTTCTCTCTCTCTCTCTCTCTCTCTCTCTGGGGTGTGTTCATGTGTAGCCCAGACGTCAGCCTTAGGCCTAGGCCTTACTTCTCAAGAGACGTCCACCTTATTTTTTGAGACAGGGGTTCTTATTGGCCTGGAGCTCACAAATCAGGCTTGGCTGGCTGGCCAGTGAGCCCCACCAACTCTCCTGTCTCCTCCCCACCTCTGGGATTTACAGGCATGTGTCACCATGTCAGGCATTTTGATGTATGTTCTGGGTATCAAACCTATTTCCCTATGTTTGCAAGGCAAGCACTTTATCCATGTCCCCACCCTAAGAAGAAACATTTTTTAAAAAAATATTTTTTTTTGTTATTTTTCTTGTATGTGTATGAGTGTATTGCCTACATGTATGTGAGTGCACCCATGTCATGCAATGCCGAGGAGGTCAGAAGAGGGCTTCGGATTCCCCAGGAACTGGAGTTAAGGATGGTCCGTAGCCGCTATGTGGATGCTGGGAATTGAACCCGGGTCCTGCAAGAGCAGTCAGTGTTCTTAACTGCCGAGCCATCTCTCCAGCCCCAGAAACATTTTTATTAATGAAAACCATTAATGCTTCTTGGCCTTTTTGCAAAAATCAAGTGTGAAACAATTAGGGACCTGGGATATAGTGCAGTGGGAGAGTGCTTATATTGCATGCACTAGGCTATTGGCTCAATCTATAGTTGGGAGGGTGTTGTTATTAGTTGTTCATAAGTTTATTATTCAGAATGTTATGGTTTGAATCTAAAATGTCCTGTGTTGAGACTTGGTGTCCAGTATAGGAATGATCTGAATAGATCCTTATCATTAACGGGTTTATAATGTGGGCTACTCAGAGGTGATGGAAACATAGGAGGTAGGATAAATCGAAGGAGTAGGTCCTTGTCAGCTACATCATGTCCCTAGCCCCTTCCTCTCTCTCCTCTGCTTCCAGCCACCACAGTGTGAGCTGCTTTTCGCCACCGCATGCTGCCTGTCATGGTACGGCACCTCACCACAGCGCAGAAACAAATGAGTCAGGTGACCATGGATAGAAACTTCTGAAATTGGGAGCCAAAATAAATCTTTTTAGATGATTTTCTAGCAGAATACCTAGAATACTGCAGCAATGGAAAGCAAATAAAGATGTGATCTTTGTCTGTAAAAGATAACACAACTTTGTCGTGTTAAATAACTTCTTTTTTTCCATCTTCTGTTTAGAGCAAGTATGAGTCCCAGCACACAGAGCCCATGGCACTTCAGTCCTCCCGAGCAATCAAAGTGGAAGGCTGCATCCGAATGTATGAGCTGGTGCGCAGGATGAGAGGAGCAGTAAGTGAGCCTGGGAGTAAGCAGGCTGAACACCAGGGAGCCTCATCTCAGTGACACCTTGGGGTGGGATCTATGCTTGGGGAGGCGGTATGAAATAGATCTAGAGTGAGCACTCAAGTGGGGCGTGGTGGTGAACACCTTTATTCCTAGCAGAGACAGTTGGACTTTTGAGATTGAGGCTAGCCTGGTCTACAAAGCAAGTTCTAGGCCAGCTGGAGCTACAGGGAGGCCCTGTCTCATAAAGCCAAAATAAAGGAGTGAGCACTCAAATTTGGTTCTGTGATATCCTGGGTAGTCTGCATATAATTTTGGGAAAATTATCTAGTCTTTACATTTAATTCTCCAAAGTTTGGAGATGGACCTGATTTGTCAGTTAGGTTTGTACCATTGCAGTGAGAATTTAGTCTCTGAAAGAATACCACTATTTTAATTAATTTATTTGATTTTGGGAATACTTCTATTTTATAGAATGAAGAGTTACCTGATTCTATAGTTGCAAATAAAGCAAATTAAGATCTTCAAAAAGGGACGGACTGGGGAAGTGGCTCAAAGAAAAAGAATGCTTGCTCTGTAAATATGAGACCTGAGTTTGAATCCCCAGCAGCTATGCAAAAAGCTAGGCATAGCTGCATGTGCTTGTAACCCCAGCACTGAGGAGCAGTGCAGGCAATCATGAGAGCTGGTTGGCCAACCAGTCTAGCTGAATTGCAAAGCTCTGGTTCAGGGAGAGACCCTGTTTCAAAGAAATTGGGCAGAATGTAATAGAGGAAGAATCCGACATCTTTCTCTGGCCTCTACCTGCACATCCATAGGTAGTGTCTGCATACTTGAGTGTGTGCATGCACACATACACACCCCCACACACAGAGCACATACCACAGACACATACATATACAGCACATATCATACACACACAAACACACACTGCATAGCACATTACTTTCCTCCCTCTCCAGCACACAGCACGTCATACCCCCTTCCACACACACAAAGAACTTGAGATGAGCTTAGCTGATAGAGTACTTGCTTAGCATACCAGAAGTCCTGGGTTTGATCCCCTGTGGTGCATAAAACTGTAGTGACCCATACCTGTAGTCCCAGGATTTGGGAGGTGGAGGCAGGAGAAAACTTCAGGTCATCTGTGGTAATATAGTAAGTTTGAGGCCAGCATGAACTCTATGAGACTGTGTCAAAGAAGAAGAAAGAAGGGAGGGAGGGAGGGAGACCAACATCTGCCGAGGGAGGACTTCTACACAGTTTTGAGAAGCAAGAAGGTGATTCTACACTCTGGAGTCTGCCATGTTCAGAGTGAGCAGGTGGTCAAGGGGCAGATGGCCAGGTGATTGATGATGATGCTCCACGGGGGTGCTGGTCCTTTTCAGGAGGGCCTGAGGCAGTGGCAGGAGGAGCAAGAGAGAAAGATTAGAGCTCTCTCGGAGATGGCGTCTGAACAGCTTAAGAGGTTTGATGAGCTGAAGGAACTGAAGCAACATAAGGACTTCCAAGACTTGCAGGAAGTGATGGAGAAGAGGTGCGTCTCCCACAGCTGCCCTATGAATAGCTTTGTGTCGGCTGTAAGGCTTTCCCTGAGACATCCCAAGGGAAAAGGTTGGTGGTCTGAGTCCTTAAATGTCAAAATAAAATAGGGAAGCCTGCAACCTGGAAAAGTGAGCAAACCTGGGAAGAGACCTAACATAACTGTGAGGGGCTTTGGGAGAGGGAAAATAGTCCCAGGAAAGATCCCTGAGTCTCTGTCTTTTTGAATTCAGCACCAGAGAAGCCCTGGGCCACCAGGAAAAGCTAAAAGCTGAGCATCGCCACAGAGCCAAGGTCAGTGTCTGTGTGTTGGTGTCTGGCTACAACCTCCTGAAGGTTCAGGCCCACTAGCTGCTCATCCTGGAGATTGTGGCTGTGATAACACTCCTAGGTGATGGGCTGTGTTGGCTACTTCTTCATCACTATAAGCAAATACCTAAGAAGACCCATAAAGAGAGAAAGGAAGGCCAGGCATGGTGGTACACACCTTTAGTATTGGCACTCCCCAGGCAGACTCAGTGGATCTCTCTAAGTTTGAGGCCAGCCAGGGTTCCACAGTGAGACCCTGTCTCAAAATGATAAGAACAACAAATAAAAAGCTGGGTGTGGTGGCACAGTCCTTTTAATCCTAACACTGTCTACATAGAATTCCAGGCCTGACGGGACTACAGGGAGAGCCCGTCCTGTCTGACACCCCCCCCCCCCCCCCCAAAAAAA